TATAAGATGTAGTTTCTATGGGGTAGGGTTCCAGTACATAGTCGCGACCGTGCTAGGCACTGGCCTACTGCATCATCACATGTAACTCCAAAGTACTCTAGCTTTTGTGCGCTGCCTACGAGTATAGTACCTCCTAGCGCCTTGCTTAGCGACCCTAACCACTGTGACTTCTGCTTGCAAAAGACCCCCCCGATGTGCAGTATCTGCCTACCTCCTACCTTGTGTTTTCTTCTCTCAACATCCAACTCGTCATAACCAAAACGTTGCCGTTTCCACAATTCGACTCGCTCAAATCTCTCTTTGGCGAGCTCCCACGACTATTATCGTGTCAGGTTGATGCTATATCTCTGGAAATAGTGGCGTTTGCTTAGCCTGCAGAGAACGATCGTCCCACAGAGTGGCTCCGACAAGAGTTGACGAGAGTGGACGAAGCTCGCATCAGATCTTCATTAACTCCCCGACAGCTCAAGGCGGCTCCGCATCACCAACTGCATACCGCTCTCTGTCTCTGGCTTGTCAGACGCTTGGTCAGGCCGCATGCGGGCCGCTCCGGTTGACCACTCCGTGATGGCATGCTCACACGGGCTTCAGGGTTAACCCAGCACATGTAATCTCTGTGGCTACGTGTTCTGCTCTTTGTGGGTTGCCTGCTACAGTATCTCTCCATCCTCGAAGCCGGGCTAATATCTACAGTAGGTCATTAGCGGGCATAATTGATACTACTGTACGAGTACTTCAATCCATGTGCTACCACCTGGTTCCATCATGTGGCATGTCCGCCCAGAGCGCAACGCCTTGACCACTGGCTCTAGGATTCGACTCGTACATGGGCGAAGCGTTGGACAGTGCACTCATAAGGTCGTTGAGCTAGCATCGGCGCTTTCCCGTCGGATTGGCGGAGCGGTCCACCGCTTCAAAAAGTTCGGCCGGTTATGACTGAATTGGACAAGTGAGCCGCGGCACATGGTTTATCATGTTTCCTATTGCAGACGATGAAGCTGTTGGTGATGCTACGTCGCTTTCCCTTGCTGCCGTCCGTCGTGGTTGGATGATATGGAGTTCAGACGTTAATCGTGCTTCCAAGCCGTGCAACAGCTATAGCGTCCAAGGGTGATTCTGGCGGGCGGGAGGATCTTCCTGCACGTTGCTGATCAACGCAACCAACCAACTGCCCCCTAAACTATTCTGGAAGTCTACCCCGGCACTAGCTCGTCAGGGGGCCTATTCAGTCGTCATGGAGGCAGATCTTCTGGAACGGCTCATATCCTGCTCCTTCCTCTTGCGCTGCTGCTTCGTGACCGTCGTCGATACATGCTTTCGGCGTTCTACAGTACTGTACCGTTTCATCGACGACGATCGCTCGGTGCAGCCTTGCTGCGTTGCGATATCAACCATTGGCAGATGGAGTGGAGCGATGCCTCAAGCCTAAACTTGATGGTGATCAGTTCCTGTGGTCCAGACTGTGTTTGTTGCGTATTCCGCGGTGCTTGCGGGCCGAGGCAAATCAGCCGGGGAGCAAGCCATATCTCCAACGGTCAACTCCCCGGTCTTTCGGTATATACGATAGGTATTGCCATCGAATACGGGGCGCTGTTCTATCTTGGGCAGCATGCACCTGGGCGCTTTCTCCAGCCATTGTTTCACAACATTGCCGGTAGACTAATAGCTCCGAGAGCAAGCTATGCAACTCTTCAACGGAGTGTGCCAGATTTGCGGAGTTGGTGCGGAGAACGGAGCACAATACGGAGTGCGTCAGGTACGACGGCGGCTACAAAAAGCTCTCAACCTTCTCGGCCAAATACCACGAGCGATTAGCAATCGACGAATGGGCGGCGGCTCTGCTAATTTACAGAGTAAATGACCTCTCCAAGGGCTGCGGGCTGGTTAAGCATGGGCTGCGAGCCTGTTTGAGATCCATGACGCAGTACTGCATTTAACCGTGTTGATCACAGCAGAATCAAGTTGGCACTTATGTGCTGTTGGTCGTTGGCTCAAGTCTTTGGTTGCGTGAAGGAGATGCCTTGTACGAGCTGACGAAAGCAGCTTGGATAAGCCCTGCCTGCTTGTACGTTCTACAATATCCTCTTTCTGTCCTTCCCGTTGGCCAACGTTTTGATGAGCTGCCTTGACAAAGTACACAGCTACGCTACTCGTACTCCGTGCTTGAGGGGGCGCAGGTTCTTAAACCTTCCAGAATATCTTGACAGATCATTTCAGTGTCTTAGCAATTTGGAATGACCCGTAATAAGTGATGACTATGAGAACTCACACCCCCTGGTCAAGGGTGCGACACTTGGGAAATACGATCGCCGGAATTTCAGAAGCCCTGCTTGAGGAAGCTGCATGGTTTTTTCCCTTCTTCTAGCGGGGGGGCCTATCGCCATCTACTACCCCATGCGGAACAGTGAGCGCTGGAGAGCTTGAGGCCCGCGCTGGACGAAGATGGGCCGGCTGGTAGTTGAGAGGAGCTGACAAGCGGCTGCTGCTCTGTACAAGCACACACTTGATACGCCGACACATGAGCATCGCGGACTCGTATACCGGACTGAATACGGAGTTGAGTTGTTGCACAAACAAAGAAAAGCCAAGTTGAGCTGGAGCGCCGTGGCTTTTTGCCGTTTTGCAGTCTGCCGGGTGCTGGCATGCATTAACAGTCGAACTGCACCCCGACCGACTCGACGAGCAAGGGAAGCAACCTAGTTATGACGACGCATATACTGTAGCATCAGCCCTCTGATAGCGGATGGGAGGCGCAACAAGAAGGATTCACGCGACAAAAGGGTGCAGGCCCGCGGCGAGAAGCTCAAGCCCGCTGGAAACAAGAGACAAATTAACCCCGGCCCCATGAGCCCTCCTTGATACTGGCAGATCATGACACACCTTTGTGCTCATGCTAGCAGAACAAGGGTCTCGAGCGGTGGCGCCTGCATCTCCCATGTCTAGCTGGGAGAATCACGCAACCCGATGAAAATCTACTGGCTGCTCCCTGGGCCTCAACTAGCACGACGATCATTTATTAGCCTGTCCCATGGCAGCGAGGCGCACTCCGGACTGGACGCCGCGCCACGAGGTGATGCTCGCCCGCTCGAAAACCAACGACATTAGCATTGACTGTTTGCTTAGCGGCCAATTCCATGGGAAAGGCCTAGAACGGAGCTAGCCATACTGCTGTGCTCCAGATAACGCCGGCGCGGCCACGAGCTCCACGAAGAAAGTTTGCCGATGTCATTCTCGGCCGCCACAACAGCAGCAGACTTCACCGAAGGGAAAATCCCCCTCGCATCTTGAGCCTGGATCGAGTATGTGTGGAAAAGAGCACGAGGATAAAAAGAAAAGAGCGAGAGCCTTGATTTCGAAAGATTCTTCGACAGGCAAAGGCACGAGCATGCTTTGGCTGAAAATCAGCGGCATCATAGAAGCATCGCTTCCCCCCTATGCAGACCGTCTTTTTCGCAGCGATTCGTATTGTAATGGATCGAGATTGACCGTCGGCGTGACGCTCTAATGACGATTTTTGGTCGCATTAACCCAAGGAGCGCCGTTATTACTAGTCAGGTCTTTCTCGGTTCTTGCGTGTCACCTTCATCGCGGCCGCCGAGCATTAATCATCCAGCTCGACGATTCTATGTGAACTACGGGCTCTGATCCACGGTCCGCGAGTCGTAGATCGTCTCAAGTCGTGCCAGGTAGCTCCAAAGGGGGGGATTTTCCGACGCGGGGCGGCTTCTCGGGGCGCCTCAATCAACCTCCCCTTTGCAGTTTTCTGGGCTACGGGCGAATTAGAAATGTTACGACGCCTTGAACTAGTACTCCTACTGCAAAGGGAAACGCATGCTAACAAACTAGATGTATGCGAGGCAAGCCCTTAGCTGGCTGCGGCCGCCATGGTTGATGCATCTCGCAACCAAGTGGTGGGCGCTCGGGGTTTCGCATTGATACGATACGCTTCTTTTGTTTCCCCTTTGCAACAAGAGACGAGAGAGGAGAGAGAGGAACATGTCCGCGGCTGCGTACCGCTTGGTGCGCGGCTGTTACGGACAGAAGCTGAGAAAGAAGAAATTGCCCAAACGAGGTCGACGGTGGTCTAGCGGCCAGGGATCTTCGGCGCTCGTTGCTCGTTGCTCACGTTTTCTCTCCGTTGCGTCCAGGCCACCGGCCCACCCTCTCCCACGACCTGGACCACACAATGATCCTTGATGACAATCCCTGGAGCTCCGTTCAGCCACCACTATGCAATACCACCCACGCCTACGATCTCTATCCGCGGTCCCGGTCAAGGAGAGCGACCAAAATAGGCCCCCACCTGGCGCACGCCTCATATGCCACTACACCCCCCCTTCGGCGATGCTACGCTACTTACGAGTATACACTCCCCTCCTCCCTTGACCCAGCTTGTTCCCGCCCTTGGAGCAGGTACAGTGCCAAGAGGCTGCGCTTCACAATGTCATCCTCCATACACACCCCTTCTTAGTGAACCTGGACGCCCGTTTCCACCCCGTTATTCAAGCCCTCCCCCTGGGGGGGTTAGAGGACCGAGCTTATTGATTTTTTGGTCCCAGACTTTTCTTGGGAATGATGGCTCTCTCTGACCAGGGGAGGGGGGGTGGCCCACTCCTAATATCTGCGATGTTCCAAAGGCCGGGGGCACTTCCTAGCCTGTCGTGTGGGATACTTAAATGTCTACGGAAGACAGATCTGATATGCCGCTCCACACCCAAACCGCTCGCTCTGGCTCTGGTTCTTGTAGCGGCTCAAATTACATATTTATACCATCTCCAGCCCCCATCTTGGCTCAAGCCGTCTGGTTTCTTTCGAATCGAACGATTTGACGACGGGCCCTTTGGTGCATCTCTTGCTATCCAACCAACATACCATCAAACCCACTGTCGATAAACTCACGAACCATTTCTTCCTCTCGACTGTCGACATCCACACCCGAGTCTCCCACATACCTTTTGACTCTTTTCCCTCTCTCGCCTCTTTTCAACAACACACACACAATGGCGTTGGTCTCGTCATTCCAATCTCCTCCCTATGGCACACAGTACTCTGGATATTACCGGCCGCCTCCATCGCCCCCCATGGACGAGCCAAAGTGCTCACTGCCCTCCATCTCCAACCTGCTGGGCCTAGCCGACGCGGGCTCACTGGCGAGCGAAGCGTCATTCAAATCTCAGCACAGCTCTCCCAGACCTTATGTCAAGACTGAGAGCCGCCCAGCTTCACGACACAGGGCACTGCCACCCACACCGCCCATGTCCACAGATGCCTCGTTTGACATTCGACGCTCTCCATCAAGCAAGCCTAGCAGCATCTCCCACGCTCCTCACAGCCACTATTACGAGACAACCCCCCCCGTAGAGGCCCACGATGCACACCGGCATCGAATGGCCGCCTCTCGGCCTACCATCTCAACCTCGGTTGCCCAGCAGCCTTCAATGGCATCTGCCCAGTCGCCCGTCGGCAGCTACTATCCCGTACAGAACCTGCCACCACCTTCTCCTGCTGGTCTTCAGTATCAGCGTGCGCTGCCCCAGTCATTCCCACCGCCGCCTAGCCCCCTCAGCGTAACACCGTCTGGCGGCTATGTCTGGCAACACCACCACTATCTCAACCCGTCCAACGGGATCCCGTTCCCTCCCACCCAAGATCGATACATCTGCCAAACTTGTAATAAGGCCTTTAGCCGGCCCAGCAGCCTGCGCATCCACAGCCACTCGCACACTGGCGAGAAGCCCTTCAAGTGCCCTCACACCGGATGCGGCAAGGCCTTTAGTGTTCGAAGCAACATGAAGCGACACGAGCGAGGCTGCCACGGCTTTGACGTAGGCAAGGGGCCTATTCTTCTCTCCTAAGCACCCGGGCGTGTCGGAGAATTTAATCATTATGAAGGCATGATGACTACCACCCTTTTCCTCTTCATTTTTCTTTCTTCAACACAATTTATTCTGTGGGAAACTGGATCAAGAGCATCCATACTATCAATGGGAGCTAGGGAAATTAGAAGGCACACGAGATGCCAAAATGGTCACACTGGCGAAAGTCTTTTCAATCTTTGGGAGGACTTGTTCTTTTATTTTCTTTTGTCGTGTTTTTTTTTGGGACCGCATGGCGTCGGAGGAAAGTATTTCATCCTACTTTTGTCTTGTTACATTCGGACGTGTCATGAAATAAGGGATTTTTTTTGGGAGGTTATCCTAGGAAGAGCATCAACGCGTCCTATGGAACCAGTTTGTATTATGTCTATGGGACATTGGAAAGGCTCAAGGCAAACAATTGCAGAGCAAGTGCATCAGTATGGCGTTTTATAACGGGCAAGGGAAACTCGGAGGCGGGAAGTATTGAACAAAAAAAAAAGAAGATAGCTACCTACATGTACATAGAGATGCACAATCAAATCTCGCCGGAGACCAATTCATATTCAACTTTCAACTCAAACTGCTACTCTATTCTCTTTACTTTAGAAACATGAACCCCTGTTGACGTGAGGTTGCTTTTTGCAGTACTCCTCTGTTCCTGGCTGTACCACCCCAGCCAGCCATGTCTCACATTTATCTCCCCGCGGGAAAGACAAGCCGGGATTTTTTGGTGTGTCGACGAAAACCTCACAACGGTTGGGCTGCAGTATCCCCCGAAGGAATCAATCCCCACCGACGAAGATCTTCCCCTCGCTTTATTTCTTTTTCTTTTCTTTTTTTCTTTTTTCCTGTGGTGAGACGGCCACAGCACCAGCCCCAGAGGCCCTGTGACGAAAGGGTAGTACCTGTACATGCATCGGCTTTTTACGCGAGGGTTGCCCCCCCGAAGCTGTTCCACCAAGATTGTTTTCCCATGTCGATCCCTTTTTTTATCTTATTTTTTCTTCTTATCTATTCTATTTTTTTTTAAAACTGCTACCGTGCCAAGGAAGAAGGGGGGGGGGCTTGCTGCCGTAAATCGTAGGTGACACGGAATAAGAAAGGGAATAATGGAAACAAAAATAAAAAGATGAATGAGAAACCCCCCAGCCGGAAATCCGTTGGACCGTGCGACGGCACTTGAAACGCGGGCTTCCGAGGGCGGCAAAACGTCTGAATGACAACTCTCTTTTTTTTTGTTAGGTACGCTCTTCTTTCTCCTTTGGGAGGAGAAGCGAATACATGTATTTGTAAAATATCTACAGGTAGGGAATAGTTCGCATTGGGTTTCTTTCTTAGCAGCAAAGGTCCCTTTTCTCTTGTAACCAGCCCCAGCCAGCGTCTGCCGAGACAATTCGGCAATTCAGACTTGGAAAACAAAACAAGACAAGACAAAGCTCACGGGGGGGGTGTTTTTTGTGTTTCTTTTCTTTTCTTTTTTTTTTTGTTACGAGTACTCCGTATGTAACTAACTTTATGGGGGTTATTACGACAACTGCTGCATGATGAACGAACGAATGTTACTGTACGAACAAAATGCTACTGTACGATAATGAGAGAAAAGGAACAAGGGAGAAAGAGGCTCGGCTTTTCCCATGGTCGGTGTTCTATTGGTGAGAGACTATTGGCTTGTTATTTTTGTCCCATGGAAAGAGCCGAACGCCGAGCGCCGTCGATAATGAGATGCTTCAGCTCCGGCGACTGGGGGGGTTTGAATGACGGTGTTCGGCCATGACAAATTGTGGGAGATGCGTGTTGCTGTAGTTTGCTGGTTTTAAACGGCAAAGTTAAAAAGCTTAATTTCAGTCTTTTGTTGCTCCAAGCTCGTTGATTCGTAAGGCTTATGCTAGAGCCGTTGGGAGGGGACTTAGTTTGTGATGAATCCTACAACACGAACGAAGCTTGCTAGGCAGCGCAGCATTGGGAGACGCAGCTAGTATCAGAAGTTAACAAAGCAAAAGCAAAAGCAAAAAAAGAAAAGAAAAAGGCAACCAGAAGTTACAATGAAAGAGGGGTCAGAAATCCTTCGCGATAGGGGAGGATTATTGGGTGTGGTTAAAAAAAAAAAAAAAAAAAAAAAAAGAGGCCAGAGGGTCCCCCAACACCTTGTAACGCACAAACTTGCTGACTTTCGCGAAGAGGCGAGAAGGGAAACCGGAATCCCGACCATTCCGAACGAGGAAATAACCGCGCGGGCGCGGCTTGGAGGGGAGAAAGCGAAAAGCAAGCACCCAGCAGAGAGATTTGCATGGGGTGACGCCTTGCTTGGACGGGGTCGTCTCCCCCTTGCCCGCAGGCGGATCCAGAGATTCAGGCTCCCCGATTGTTCGTAAACCGCTGATCTGCATATCCAGACCGGGGGGGTTTGTGGTTTTGGTTGAATGGGCGTACTGTATGTAGGGGGGAGGGGTGGCAGGCGGAGAGCGATGATCTCGACCTCTGTCTGGGCTTTGCTTTTGCCGTGAAGCCTTTTTAGCCTAGGTAGGAGAGAGAGGTCATCGAGATCCCACCACTTGGAAGTCCAACGGGGGATTTGCAGCCCCAACGATAACACGATGGCTTTGTTAGCACAATCTTACCCAATGCATTACTAAGGAAACTTAGCAGCACTCCATCAGCTGGTTGTTTATATTGCCTGCCCCCGACTAGTCGTGGGCTACGGAGCATTACCCCGTTTTTCCCAACGTACTACTGCGTCTTGTACGAACAGCTAGCGGCATCGAGGTTTGCCTGGCAGCAGGCAGAAAGCCGGCCAAGGAGAATAAAAAAGGCGTTCCAAGCGAGCAAAGGAGAAGACGCCAAAGCGCAAAAGACAGCCGCGGAAGCAAGCCTGCCGAGTTTGAATCCGTCAACTTTTGTCGACAAGCCCCAAAAACCAACCGGCGTCAAACCCGTGTGCGGGGGGGCAGAGAGACCAGGAGGCGGAACTCCGACCGCCACTACTACTCCGTAACATATAATGGCTCGCTACAAGGAAGAGCGAGTACATATGCGCGGCCCTTCGGCTTGAAGGGTGGTCCTCGACTTAGTTGCTGCATTTGCCGGCGTGCCTGCTATTCAACGCCTATCAGCTTACTTGTACAAGTTATGTTTGAGAGGCCGAATGGCTACTCGTAGTTGGTTAGATGGTGCGGCGTTGAAGCTGACAGATGGGCTAAGCCCGCTTGAGAAGGGAGCTAAACGGGGTGTTATCACCGAATTGCTGTTAGTTGTTTGCAGCAGCAAGTTGATGATTTGCCATGATACGTGTCGTAACGCTGTGATGCAACTCTATTTGTCTTCGGGGGTGCGGACAAATATCCGCATCGCCGCTGCTGTTGGCCTTGCAGATATATTACCGTGCATTATCAGACGGACACCTTGGTAAAGTCCCCGATCAAAGGGAGGGAGGCGAAAAGGGCGCCGGCCTTGTATTATGTCCGACTTGGCGCTGCTCGTGCGGCTCGCTATTGCTAGTTTGCGAGTTCCAGGCCGTCTGTGATATGTAAGGAGGTGTTTTGCTTTACGATTTGTGAGCCAAGCAATATCACAATATTCCACCAACAAAGCCCCAAGGCAAACAAGAAAGCATACACAGGAACCAACCACACAAGGGCAGGGCAAGGGGAGAGGGGGGTCGAGACGACTCCAGTTTTGATGTGCGACACGGATAGGCGCTACGCCTTAGATCGACAGAGTGCATGCGTTGGCGCCAAAGGAGGTCTCGGGATTGCTCAAGTGCTTGGGCTAATGAAAATGGGATGGATGGATGGACGGCGAGATGTGGTTGTAATGCGACGAAAGAGTAGGCTATCGATGCGGGACTAGGCAAGCGTCACTTCAGCCGTACGCACGCACAAGGGGCGAATCACATCCAGGGAGCGGCAGGATAATCTGGGCTAATTGGATGAAAAAAGGACCAAGCACGAAAAGAAAGGAAGCGACACCAAGAAAATCAGGCCACATCGGGCGAATAGAGAGGCTCGCAAGTTGGGATATCCTGCGAGTCGAGATGCTGTTGGCACGACTGCGTGGTGGCACATGCTAGTAGCAGTTGGTAATACGACCACGACTAGCATCACGGACGCCCGGTGTTAAGGACTTCCCTTCCGGAGCCGGCTCTTCCTTTTCCTGTTGCTGATTCCGGTAACTGTTTCCTGTGGTTGGATCCATTCATCAGGACGGTTAGAAAATGCGAACTGTCACCCTCCTGGTGGCTATGAATAATCGCTGCTTCACGACGACGACGACGACGACGCCCAGTCTAGCCCGGAGCGTGCCGCCGGGTTGCATCTGCCGCCCTTCTTCGAGACCTCTCTCTCCCCCTTGCTGTCGCTTGTCTCGCTTCACCACACGTCTTGTCCCGTCCCGTACAGTACGTTGAGTGCCTTGTGTACCTACTGCTTTGCTTCGCTTTGCTTGGCTTTGCTTCGTACGCACATTCTACTCCGTAGCTCTCCCCAAAGGCGCATCACCAGCTGCGCCGCTTAGCAAACTTGCTCCGAACCGAACGACTAGGAGATCGCGCCGGCGCAAAAGCTAGGCCGCGCATCCGGAACTGACGGAACTTCTAGAAGTCGTGATTGTCCCATGAATCAGGGCCGCGCCAGTCACGAGGAGGCGTTGACTCGAACACCGCCTTGGAGCTCTGATGGCGTCTGAGTTGTCGCGGGGCGCGGAGACGGACTGCTTGGGCCTGTCTCGCACGTGGTGCCAGCGAGATTGATGGGACAGTTTTAGGTTTAGATGAGGATGCTGGCGTACCGTCAGGCTGGTAGCGCCATGGAGGAGGGGGCGAGCTAAGTCCAAGCCGTGGCATTTAATACGGTGCTCCCAGGATAGGATGGCTCGCTAGATTCACGGCGGCTCGTTTCTGCGTACTCCGAGGGCAGCGCTGATTTCGCGTATTGTTCAGCTGTTCAGCTCTCCCAAAGACACCCGGCAGTCGAGCTCGGCACCGAGGGCGTGTGCCTGAACGC